CAGTTCTGTTTCATATGGGTGTTGAGAGATGTATCCATAGATCTCTTAATGTTGCTCTCAACGTGCACCAGATTGATGCTTTTAACTTCAACATTTAAAAAAAATCTTCCCGGGAGAACATCCCCCCGGACCCCCCTTGAGGAGGTGATATCCGCCCCCCACTCATAAAAAAAATAGCACATTACTCCTGCCTATATGCAGTGAGCTGATTATCGAGGTACAGTGTGTGCGTGTGGGAAGTGTTGCAGTAGAAAATTCCACTGTAGCGCCGCAGCCGCCGCCACTGTGGGCTAAGCCCCGAATGTTTTCAGGTCCAGGCAACGCCCCTGGCCTTGACATAATTACTTTGAATGGGCACAATAGTTTAAAGCAGGGGTTCTCAAAGTGCGGCCCGCGGGCCAATGGCGGCCCTCGGAAATGTTTCTGGCGGCCCGCGATAGTTAATGTGACACGCTGAAATGCATTCGTTATATTTTAATCCTCCATGGTTGTATCTAGTAAGAATTAGAATGAGTAGCTTTCCAGCGGTATCTCCTGTGAGACTGTAACCAGGGCACCGCAGCCAATATGGCTGCTCAAAGCAGCTTGACTTTACACTGTGTGGGATTGGTGGATTTGTGTGTCCGTCAAGAGGCGCTTTCACACTGCGGTACTTTTCCCACAAAGGTTCATGTGAACTTAGTTCATGTGAACTCTTTAGTGAGAAAATAGCTATATTTCTGATTGGCTGGGCGGATTGCAAACCACGCCCCGTAAAACTCCCAAAAAGTTTTGTGAAGCCGCCATTTTATTATCCTCGCATTAGCATTATTAGCATTAGCATTAGCCCAGCGCAGAAACGCAGAGAGACTAACTTATGGCAACACAAAATAAAACATGGGAGCGGTGGAGATGAGGAGGTGTCGGCGTTCTGGCGATTTACTCGGAAGGCTTCAGTAGAAGCTGCTGGGAGTCCCAGCAGCTTCTACTGAAGCCAGTCCCTAACTCCGGGGACTTCCGGCCGGGGACTTTGGGCGGCAGTATACGCCGTGAAGTGGTTTGCGGCCTGCCAGTAAACCCAAAGCAGAAGAAGAAGAACAAGTAACGTCAGCGGCTTCATTTGCCTAATCCACCCCCAGGGACTTTTTCCAGTGTGAACGCGATCTGTACTTAGTTCATGCGAACTAAAGAGTTCACATGAACTAAGTTCACATGAACCTTTGTGGGAAAAGTACCGCAGTGTGAATGCGCCTAGAGAGACAGATAAAATGGCTAAAAAAAACGTTACAGTTGCCGACTTCGCTAGAGATTTTTTTCGCTAGCAGCAGTGAAGATAGAGCCTCAGAACCTGAAGTCTTTGACTCTTCTGAAGAAGAAGAATACAAAGACAACAACAAGGATCCATTTGGACATGGGTAAGTGTAAATATAACAGTAATAGTGTACTGGCAATGTGTGGGGAATACCGCGAAAATGAACAATAGGTTTATTGATATATATTTGTTATCGATAGTCATGAACTTTTTATTGGGACAAAATAGACTCTCCATTAGCAAACGTTTACTCTGTGTTAACGTTATTTTGGTGTGTAAAAGTGAGATTACATGTGTAGATGATTAAATTAATCATTTATTCGTCCCACAACGGAGACATTTACAGTGACATGTTTTTGCCATCGATTATCTTATCATACTGTTCTGTACAGATGAGACTTTGTCATAGATTTATTTATATGTGTGCCTGTTATTATTTTACCGTCCTGTACAGATGAGACTTTGTAATCAGATGTAGCCTATGTATATGTGTGTGTGTGTGTGTGTCATTTTACTTGAACTTTATTTCAATGAAATTAGTTGTAATTATTGTCCTACACAGGCGGCGTTTATCCAGCAGCCACAACATCCATCTGTGCCGGCCCCCAGGTCAAGATCTACTGTGGCTCAAGGGCCTTCACCAGAGCCATCACCACCAAGTACCAGCAGACCATCATCACTACAGCTGCCTCCATCTGCGGCTGCCACCAGGTCAAGATACACCTCAGCACAAAGGCTCCACCACAGCCATCACCTTCAACCCAGCCAGCAAGGAGGTCTCGTGGAGGTCTCGTATAGCACTTGTACACCCCACCTACACAGCAGCCCATGCACCATCACCCCCACCTACACAGCAGCCACACCCACTGTCTTGGAAGACAGACAAAGACCTTGACACTGTCTTGACATTTCTAATGAATAGTTGGTTGAAAGTTCTGATGTTCAATATTGTAAATAGTGAGATTTTCCAGTTTCTTATATTTATATAAATAGTTGGTTGAAAAAAACATATTTATAATAAATTGTTGGTTGAAAAAAAAGGTTGAATGCTCAATTTGTACACATCACATGCACCTTGGTATGTAATATGAAGTCATTATTCAGTCCTGATGTATCTCAGTCCCTGCTGTGGTGAAAGTAGAGTGATAAACACCTATTTTACTCAAAATTTGAATTTAATGTTTTTCATTTTAGACATGAATAACACATTTATATACAGTGTAATTCAAATATTTCACTGCTTTTGTGATCCTAAGACTTTGGTAACCAAATCTAAAACACCAAAACAATTCGATCACATGAGTAAATGTGTGTTTTCACAAGAGTTTTGAAGGTTTTCCAAAAATCGGATTTCACATTTTAAGCTTTTGAGCTACTTATCTCATCAAACAGTGCTCTAAGGTGAGCAATATGCATATATAGCAAGACCAGAGATTGTCCTGAACATTTTGATATGTAACACATGGGGTGCCATGTAAGAAGAAATACATTTAAAAGGTGATTTAAGAAAACATCTAAAAATCGAGAAAATACCCTTAGACTCCAGAGGGTTAAGAATGGTAAAACTGCGCCCCCTGGGTTGTCATTCCTAAATTATGAATGACAGCTTGTGGAAAGTTTGCTAGACTACTGGTTGCATGGCAACTAGGCATCTCGCGAGTTGCGGTAATTGGTTAGTACAATAAAGAAAGGATTTGTTTTGGAATTATTTTGTGTTCCGTTTTTTCTTGGGCGGCCCTCAATCCAATATTGGGTACTAGGGCTGCACGATATTGAAAAAAACTGACATCGCGATTTCCCCCCCCCCCCCTGCGGTATATATTGCGTTTTTTTTAACCTGTTAAGCCCAAAAGTCCCGGCGGGTACTTTACTTTTTTTTTTTTTCACGACACTGTGTCTCAGGGGATTTTAATATTTAAGAACCTATTAATGTGTTATTCCAGATTAACGGAAATCATCTCAGCTAACTGACGATACAAACAATTTTTACCAAAACAAAACACAAGTCTCATAAGAAGCATCTAAATGACCCCTTTGCGAAAAATGCTAACGCACTTTGGCACAGAACTCAAGATAAAAGTACTCTTATTACTTATCGTAGCTGCACATACAAGATATCCGATTAAAGCTGAGGTTCCACAGATTATTTAGGTATATAGTATCATCACTGAGTGATCCGAACTCACGACAGGGGAAGCAAACACAGACATCACAACACGCACCTTTACGTAGCTTCTAGGGGAGATGTATCACCGTAGCTGTCAATCTGATCAAAAGACGTGTTCAATGGCATTAAAACGAGAAAAAACGCGGCTGAATCGGTTAATCCATAGGTTATTAACGTCTCTGTATAAAAAAAATGATTTAATTTATAATCCATAATTCCATTTTAATGTAAAAATCGCAGAGCAAAAGTTAGCTGCTAATGGTAGCCACCAGAGTGGCTTCTGCTTCCGGTCTTGGCTATGCGGCAGTCCAGCGCAGTCTAACACACACACATATTACCAAATAAGGAGTGAGAGTGACGCGTAGCCAAAACCGGAAGCTGCATACACACTCTGGTGGCTACCATTAGCAGCTAACTTTTGTGCTCCGATTTTTACATAAAAATGGAATTATGGATTATAAACATTTGCTTCAAAGCCACAGATACATTATCAACCTATGGATCAACCGATTCAGCCGCGTTTTTTCTCGTTTTAATGCCATTGAACACGTCTTTTGATCAGATTGACAGCTACGGTTATACGATCTCCTGTAAAAGCTCCGTAAAAGGTACGTGTTGTGATGTCTGTGTTTGCTTCCCCTGTTGCGAGATCGGATCGCTTAGATACTATACTTAAATAATCTGTGGAGTCTCAGCTTTAATCGGATATATTGTATGTGCAGTTTCGATAAGTAATAAGGGTATCTTTATTTTGAATTCTGTGCTAAAGTGCGTTAGCATTAAAAAAAAAAAATGAATAAAACCGCACGTCCCTGCGGTGTGAATATCGCGCATGCGCATATCGCGGTTATCGCCATGACACGGTATATCGTTCAGCCCTATTGGGTACCTAAATTGGCCCTCACTCATCAAAACTTTGAGAACCCCTGGTTTAAAGCATACTATAAATAAACTACTATACTCAGTAACCAGTAGTAATACAATTAATGCATATATCTAGTAAAGCAACTGACCACTTTTATTTTTGTCAACTTTTCACACAATATATTTGTAATAAATTAAAAACATTTTTTCCGAGCACATTGATGCTTCTTAACACACAAGAAAACAGGATTATTTTCACAATGTCAAGATTACTGGTTGGTATCAATTTAGGTGCATTATTATGGCTTTTATAATATTTTACTAACCAAGTTGTGAGATGTTGGAAGATATTCATGTTACAAAAATAAGTCTGACAGGCCACAAAACATCAAGAAGTAATCAGACATGTTGGAAATAAACCAAGTTTATCCAGATTTTCAGGCACTGTATTCAGTTGTAAAACTGGATGTTGTTTGAGTTTGCAAATTCAGAAGGTGTTCTGATTGTGACAGCGATATTTTAAAGAATTGTTGTAGAAAACACACATGGTATTTTTATTCACATGGGAGTATGTGTAATAAAATAGAGACCATCTGTGATGTGATCACAACAGCCTAATGCTAATTCAACTGTAATGTATTCAGACTGTAATTGTACCTGTACTGTGTTTTCCTGCAGTGAGTTTTTCCTCAGACACTCCACCTCCATCCTACTCCACTGCCACCCACGCACCGCCCTCAGACTCAGACCCCCCCCAGTACACGGACAACCCAGCCAGAGACCAGGTAATATTCCCCTGTGAAACACTACATTCAGAGCTGTGAGACGGATCACATCAAAGTCATGTTCTTTGCACATTCAGCTTATGAGACACACGCACACAATCCTAACCTTTATACAGATCTAAATATAGAAAGATTATGGGGCTTGTGAAGAAACTGCCTAGTAAGGTTAAAAGTAGCAGGGGGAATGCTGATGTGTCCTGATTAAGTCAGTATGAATATAATATAATCCTTTATTGTCATTATACAGGTACAATGACATAGTAGAGCTACTCCTTTTTTGAAGGTGCACAAATTCCCCTCTACTCTTGAACCAATATGGTACACTGTTTATTATTATTTTCTTCCATATGGGGGGCTGATTCGGCTATGGTCACTTTGGTTCCAAAAAACATAGATGGCAAATGCAAAAAGGCCAAACTTGAGACTCTGAAATGAAAGTCCCCTAAATCATGTGCGGTCAGTGACAAATATATTTCTTATTCATAGTTTATTTTCTGGCAGGGAAATTCGATAAGGAATAAAAAAATATTTGGGCTGGGTCTCTGTCTTCAAAATATGAAAAGTAACTTAAAAAACTACAATTTCTAATAGTATTAATAATGTTATTGCATAATACCCATATAAACAGTATTCACACTGATCGGACCAGATGACTATTTTAAAATAAAAGCTATATTTACGTGATTTTGTATGTATTCCTGCTCCTTCTTCCCAGCATGCTGATGAGGCTCAGGGAGCGGAGGCGGGCTCTGTGCTGGTGAAGGTCCACTTCACGTACACAGTGGCTCTATCTGTCCCTCTGGAAACAACTAACTATGAAATAAAGGATTGCATCGCACAGAAACTGGGCCAGCCGGCGTCTCAGCTGCGCCTCAGGTAACCACAGGCCTACCAACCCACTTCTGTCTCCTTGAATTTCAACAAGTGATGCTTCATTTCTAAAAATATGCTTGTCTTTGTCCACTACACCCTGTGGGTCCTACTGTATATGTGTTCCTGCTAAGAAAAACTAACAAAGGGCACTGATGCTGCAGCTCCACAGACATGAGAGGAGTCCATAAAAGAGACAGCAGTAGGATTGATACAGCACACAATAAAACACATTACATTACATCTAAGAATTGATAACACAAGAAAGGAGCTGATACCAAGAAAGAACAGGAATCCTGCTTTGATGCTTGTTGAAGTGCCTTATCCTAAGTTTGAAATGTTCTGAAGCCACATTTCCTCAAAGCATGCACAGAGATGTTGTTTTGTTCCACTCGAAAAAATATGATTTATGAAACCATAAACTCCGGTTGACTTTCCAGAAAAAACAAATATATCCAAAATCCAAATATCATTATTTTGATCAGGCAATCGACAGAAATAAGGTGACAAAAATAATGCGCTAATTGGTGAGCCATAATGACTAAAAATAAAGTGACAAATAATGTAATTTTCTCTAAGATAATGTGTCTAATAATGTAAAACTGTAGGCCTTCCGCAAGAGTGTAACTTTGGTTTGAGAAGTAGGGGGGACACAAAACAGGGGTTCCTCCGCAATGAAACATTTTCTCAATTTAATTCAATTACCTGCCTTTCTACAAATATATTAGGGACTATAGTGTTAACAAATCCAAGAAAAATGTGTAGTGTATATATTGAGTGCGCAAACTTATGTAGTATCCTCTCCATGTGAGCCTGTTTTATTTGTGATGACCTCACATCCTCTGGGGGGGGGGCTTCTAATCTCCGTTAGCTCCGAGCTAGCACCAGATGACAACTCCCGTATCTCTCTCTCTCTCTCTCTCACACAAAATGCGCTCGTGCCACGCACACACAGACGCTCCTCCGTGAAGATGACCCCTTGCGTAAAAAAATAAATAATAAACACCATTTGAAAAGTGGGGGGGACATGTCCCCCTGTCCCCAGTGGAAATTACGCCCATGCTTCCGCCATCTATCTAAAAGAACATGTGTAGTCCATTTAAAGCCTCGCCCCCCATGACAGGACGAGATGGCTGCTGCATACACCTTGACTGTGGCATGAGCAAGCCCCTTGTCCACCAGTAGCTATAGCTAGGATAGAATAGAGTCCAATGTACCGGACAGAGGCTCTAGACTCCCTTCCTCGCACCACGTCTGTCTGTCCTCTGACAGAGTGGCACATAGCCTGCCCTCCTTCTCGATGGGGCGTACACCTCACTCTCGAAGGGGGCTGCATTGAGCAAAATCCCCAGATACCCCACCTGCTGGTGAGGTATGGGACTGCTCTTTCATCCAATTGACCGCAAACCCCCAACTTGGTTAGGTGTAGAACATCTGCCCATTCCCTGGAACTGGCCATGACTACGAGGTCGTTGAGATAAAATAAAACCCTCATGCCATGGTCGCGAAGCGGCCACACATTTGCTGAACGTGCGTGGGGATAGGGAGTAGCCGAACGGTAGTCTGTTGTACTCATAGGCTATCCCCTGGAAGGCAAAACGCAAATACTTTCTGTGCTCTGGAGCAATTTCGACATGAAAGTAAGCGTCCCTCAGGTCGATGGTTGTGAACCAATCGCCCGGCCAATAACTGTTTTATAGTTAACATATGGAACTTTGTGCAGACAATGTGCTGATTCAGGATGCGAAGATCCAGAATGGGTCTGAATTCTCCTGTCTTCTTGGAAACCAGGAAGTATATGGAGTAAAGCCTCTTTTCTCTGTGCTGAGGGTGCACAACAGACACAGACTGTTTTTGCAACAGGGCCTCTCCACCTGGGATGATAGATTTGCCTCTCTTATGCCCCTGAATGGAGGAGGGACACTGCAAAACTGGAGTGAGTAACCCAGTTTCAGTGTCCTGTCCATCCATTCTGTCAGTACACAGCTGTGCTTCCATTTCCCATAAAACTGTGTTAGGGGACATGCAAGCAGCTGTGGAGCCGCAGCTAAGAAGCTGTGGTACTCTCTGGTGGCCCACTCCGCCGCCAAACCTTCCATAAAAGGAAGTTTGGCCCATGGGGGGCTGACACAGAAAGGGCCGATTTTCTACTGAGGTCCTTGAACGCACCGCGGCACGCTCTCGCGGGGCCACACGCTCCGTCATAATGCCGTCTTCACACAGACGGTGAAATGCATTAATCGGAGCTATATTACACTAGACGAGGTGTGTTTTCTGACAATAACACGCCGGCCCTAATGTCCCTGCACCCGCATAGCGCTTTGACAGCACTTCCTGCGGTTTATCACACTCACATGCACACGCCCAGGGACGTGCACAGGTACGGGCTAATGTTGCCCGGGCAACGGCCCGTTTCCCCTTTTTGGCTGACCTGCCCCTCTGCAGAGAGCGAGAGTTTTTTTAAATTTTCTGTTGTGGTCGAATCAACATGATAAGCCCACAATTAATATTGTAGTGTCTCGCTGCGGGAAACACACCATCTTCATTATTTTTCTTCTCCTTCTTCTTACATGTAATTGCCCGCATGGTAAACTCCCTCGACGGGGCCGCTCGCTCTCTTCTCTTGATCGCCCTCTCACAGGAGAACACTTCACTGCCCGCTTCATTGTAGAATTTCTGCCATGTCTCTACTTTAGTTTGACCATCTCTGTTATTATGTTATGGAATACTAAATAAATAAGTAATGATATACCGTACCTGTACCTGTGCTCATAAAGAATGATAAGAATAAGAATAATGCGTATTGAACTGGTTTAATTAATTAGTGAGTTTATTTAAGATAATTATAGAAGCCCTATTTTATCAGTATGTCTGCAAAGGTCAAACTACATTGAATTGTCCCCATGTTGTCTTTAGTAGTTTCTAACATTAGATATTTTAATGAGATATGGACCGCAAAACAAAAAATGTCCCTGGTTTTGATTTTAAAAAATCAAGTCACCGAATGCAAGTAGTTGCCTTAGCTTATTTTGTTATGAGATGATGATGTGAATTACTGTTCAAATTAGTTACTGTAATAATCGTTTTGGTCTTATATTTTTTTTCGGGGGGGGGGGGGGGGCTTTTTCCAGTTTAGAGCAATAGCCCTTCCAAATGTCTGTGCACGTCCCTGCACACGCAGGGGCTGCCTCCTTTACTGGAGTTTACAACTGGGGCGGCAAGTGGGGAATCGTGTCTCATAATGGGTGCCCAGTTAACATCGTATGAAACGGATCTTGCCGATTTCATCTAGACATTCTGGGGAAATGTGGAATTGTGGAGAGAGATGACTCTTACTCTACGATAAATGCAATCGTTTTTATTGAATGCATTTTTCACACACACATCACTAGAACTAGGGTTACAATACGTAACCCACCGTTCTTGCAACAGGGCCTGAATCTCTGTTGAAAGGAAACCTATCTCCTCCTGGGATGATAGATTTGCCTATCTTACACCCCTGAATGGAGGAGGGACGCTGCAGAACTGGAGTGAGTAACCCAGTTGCAGTATCCTATCCACCGTATTAACGCAGTGTTTCACATTAACGGTGAAAGGCATTAATCGGAGCTATTACGGCCCGTCCACACAGCGGCGTGTGTTGACGCTTGGAGGTGGGCGTATCTGAAGCTTGGGGATTTTTTGCGAGCAACAACTGTAGGAGTTTTGAGGTTTTTACAACCCCACTCGGCTCCGCGTGTCGTTTTGACGAGTCCTGCTTAAAATCATAACAGGAAGGAAATCAGAGAACACCAGCATACCAGTTTAAACAATAATCTGTTTTAATTATAAAAGGTAATAATGCAATGCAATATAATACATTACAATACAATATAATACAATACAATTATATTGTAATGTAAGGAGTATGCCGGCCCACTCCTGCCCTGGTTCGCGTGCTGCGTGGATCCTTCGGTCCTGGCAGCCCGAGAAGAGAGAGCGAATGCCAGGACTCATACAGGAGATATACCAGAATAAGAAGGAGGGGTTAGGTCAGCTGGTCATCTTTTCAGGTCATCTCATTGGGAGACGCAAAATATGCTGTGTCACAGTGACTCAGCGCTGGCCAGCAGAAAACAAAACAGGCTCACTTTGCAACAAAACACATCTTATTATGTAGCTTATCACACAAGTCATGTGTTTCTTTATGAAAGCCATACTTGTTGGAAATGTAACAATCATCATCTCATGAACTCCTCAGGACCAGCTCACCAACAACGCCTAACTGTCTTCATAGCCCCAAGCCATCTCTGAACTTCCATCCACCCGAAGTCAGCTCACCCAGAATCAGAAGGACCATTGTCTCTCTTAACTGTGTGTGACTCAATTCTCCTGCTCCTTTAGGAGTCCTGAAATGAACGCACATACATTTCTCTCACAAACCAACACTTAACATCCCATAGCCTATATCAGGTGACATAAAAATGAATATACCAGAATTACGCTGTATCAAACTTTTTGCCATAATACTTTACATCAATCTCCACACAACCAATCACATGAATCTCCCGCCCCCGACATACAAAGCAATAGCAATGTTAAAACGAAGTAAACTGGATATAAAATCCCCAAACAGGACGAAAACCTACCAGTTTCACCCACTGTCTCTGCCACCTCCCTCCATGCCTCGCTCCTCCGGTTTGTATCCCGGTAGATGAACAGAGACTGATCATACAGCACCGGGTGATTCACTACCGCTATAATGAATATGAGGAAATGACCTGCGTAGTCTCTCCCAGCATACACGCGGTTTGATTGGCTAGCGCTTGTACTGGCAGATTTGCATAAACGGGATTTCATTGGCTGACGCTTCTGCCGAGGCGCCAAAAGTTGAACATTGCTCAACTTTTGAAGCAACGCCAGCAATGCTACACGTCGCTTCCCAAAATGCAGTTCGGCTAAAAGTGACGTGACCCCATTCAAAGTGAATGGGCAGAAGCGTTGGAAGCTTCAACGCACGCCGCTGT